GCGGGACACAAACATTCAGACCATAGCAATGGTTGATCTAGGGTTCACAGTAGCCATATCTTTAACTTGCCAGCTTACCTTCAAATAATATACCACTCCATGTATGGTGTAAGATTCTCCTGTCCTGGGTCTAATTATTGTTGTACATTTAAATTAAACATGTGTAATAAACTCCACAATACATTGCTATTATTTTTGCTTTAAATAGCCTATTAGCATTTGAGGAGATTAAAACTGAGAAAGTTGTATTTATATTTACCTATATATTTACCATTTCTGATGCTCTTTATTCCTTTGTGTAGATTCAACTTTCTATCTGGTATGATTCTCTTTCTGCCAGAGAACTTACCTTAATATTACCACACAGATCTAGTAATGATTTCTCTCACCTTTTTCTGTTCTGGAAAAAGTCTATTTCATCTTCATTTTTGAAATTTTTTTTCCTGGTACAGAATTTCATATGAACAGTGCTTTTTTCTCTCTTTCTTCAGCACTTTAAAGAAGTCATTCATTGTCTTAGTTCTCTGATAAGAGGCCTACTGTCATTCATTCTTATATTTCTTCCTCTGTATGTATGTCCTTTCTGGTTACTTTTAAGATTTTATTTTCTATTTTGCTGTTTTCCATCAAGTTGATTATATTGTTCCTTGGTATGATTTACTTCATGTTTATTCTGCTTGGGGTTTGATGAGATTCTTGGCTTTGTGTGTTTATAGTTTTATTCAGATTTGAAAAAAAATCCATTATTTTTTCAAATGTTTTTCTGTCCCTGTCTTGCTTTTGGGACTCTTATTGTATTTGTTTGATCACTTAATAGTATGAGATTCTTGACATTTTGCCCACAAATTTTAGGCTTCCACCTTTTCAAACTTTGATCTCTGTCTCCTCAACCTACTGAAATCATTTGGCTCTATTTTGGTTCCTTTCTCTGAGCCTTGGCCTGGACACTACTTCTGGGCAATTATCTGAGACAACCAGAAGGCGAACTTAGCTTGCTTCCCTTCCCTTAGAGATTACAGTCCTGTGCCCTGAAAACTGTTGTTTTTTTTATTTTTAATTTTTTTTCTAGTTATTTATAGCAGGACAGCAATTCATTGTTCACACTTAGAAGCAGAAGTTTCTACTCTTTACTTTTAATCAATTCATAAATTAAAAAAAAAACTGATCTTTTCAAAATACAAATAGGAATACATGATCTGATGAGCAAATCTATTGCATTTAGGATAGCATCCCAAATCCTTTACAAGGCATAGAGGCCCTGCATGATCTGGTCCTGCCTTTCGTTTGTAAGTGCATCTTTTACTACTCTTTCCTCCATTCATATCCTCCAATGATACTGGCTAAATCCTTTTATTCCTCAGACCTACAGTGTATGCTCTTGTCTCTGCCTGGAATGCTTCCCCCATTTTCTCTTAGGAACCTTTTAATCATCTTTTATACATAGGCTTGAATGCCACTTACTCAGAGTGATTTTTCCCATTGAGCCCTTCCTATGTGGAAAAAAAGAAAAAAGCTTTCCTTGTTATATTCCGTCATAGCATCCTGTAGATTTCCTTTACAAATACTGAACCTAATTTCTAGTTACGTTTTCTTTGTATGCTTATTTTAAATTGCTCATCTGCCTGGTAGATGGTAAGCTCCAAAATTGTATCTATTTTCTACATTCTTGTATTCCTAGGCTCTGGCAGATAGTAGATACTCAACAAATGTCTGTTGACTGATTGTTGTGTAAACTAGGTAGTGGAGCACTGCATTGTTGCTTGTATTCCATGCTTTGCACCATTATACAGTGCAGGGTGTGGAATGCAAGCAACAAGCATTATAGGAAAATGCATAATTCAAAGATATCTAAATGTCACACCTTCTTTATTTCTATATTTTTTAGTACCACAAGAAGTTTGGCGTGAGGAGGGTAAAAGCAAAAGTCATGTCACTTTCTAAGTGTTTTTGTGCTTATGACTATTAGTTGCTACAATCTTTTAAAACATATAGCACAGATTCATTTTGCTACTTTAAAAATAATGGCTATTGCTTTTTTAGTTATCACAAAACATTCTGATTGCAGATTTTGAAAAATGCAGAACAGTTTCCCACTTGCCTCTTGGTCTCCTTTGTTGGTTCATAACCTTCTTCCCATCCTTTTCAGTATGGATTTAAGATTTTAGCCTTGGCTCTTTGGCTCTCTGCCTTTCTCTTTAGAACTGTTTCTTTAGCCTTTCTTACCCTTGCCCATAGATTGTCTTTCAAATATATGTTTCTAATCCTCATGTTTCCTCTGGATTCCAGACCCATGTATCCAACATCAACATGATGCATGATACTTGCATCTGGTGATCTCACTTATGTCCAGAAATAAATTATCATCAGCCTTCCAAACTCATTCCATGAGTACTGTTTCTTATGCCACTGGCTGGCACAACCATCTGATTGGACATAGTTGTTTGGTCCAGTAACATAAACATATCATGAACTTCTCTTTCCCTTCCCCATAACTGTGGTTAAATTCTATATTAGTCTGTTTCACACTGCTAATAAAGACATATCTGAGACTGGGCAATTTACAAAAGACAGAGGTTCACTTGGACTTATAGTTCCATGTGGCTGGGGAAGCCTCACAATCATGGCAGAATGCAAGGAGGAGCAAGTCACGTCTTAGATGGATGGCGGCAGGCAAAGAGAGCTTGTGCAGAGAAACTCCCATTTTAAAAACCATCAGATCTCATGAGTCCCATTCACTATTACGAGAACAGCATGGGAAAGACCTGTCCCCATGATTCAATTGTCTCTCACTGGGTCCTTCCACAATGTGTGGAAATTATGGGAGCTACAAGATTAAATTGGGGTAGGGACACAGAGACAAACCATACCATTTTGGCTCTTCCCAAATCTCATAGCTTCACATTTCAAAACCAATCATTCCTTCCCAACAGTCCCCCAAAGTCTCAACTCATTTCAGCATTAATTCAAAAGTTTCACAGTCCAGTCCCACCTGAGAAAAGGCAAGTTTCTTCTGCCAAGAGCCTGTAAAATCAAAGGCAAGTTAGTTACTTCCTAGATACAATGGAGGTACAGGCATTGGATAAATAGTCATTCCAAATGGGAGAAACTCCCAAAACAAAGTGGTACAGATGCCATGCAAGTGCAGAATCCAGCAGGGTAGTCAAATCTTAAAGCTCCAAAATGATCTCCTTTGACTCTGTGTCTCACATCCAAGTCACAATGATGCAAGAGGTGGGTTCCCATGGTCTTAGATAGCTCTGCCTCTGTGGCTTTTCAGGGTGCAGCCTTCTTCCAGGCTGCTTTCATGGGCTGGTGTTGAGTGTCTGCAGCTTTTTCAGGCACATGGTGCAAGCTGTCGGTGGATCTATTATTCTGGGGTCTGGAGGATGGTAGCCCTCTTTCACAGGTCCACTGCATGGTGCCCCAGTAGGTACTCTGTGTGGGGGCTCTAATCCTACATTTCCTTTTCACGCTGCCCTAGCAGAGGTTCTCCATGAGAGACCCACCCCTGCAGCAAACTTCTGCCTGGGCGTCTAGGCATTTCCATACATCTCTGAAATCTAGGCAGAGTTCCCAAACACCAATTCTTGACTTCTGTGCACTGGCAAGCTCATCACCACTTGTATTCCTCAGAGGCTTGGGGCTTTCACCCTCTTAAGCCACAGCCTGAGCTCTCTATTGGCCCCTTTCAGCCATGGCTAGAGCAGCTGGGACACAGGACAACAAGTCCCTAGGCTGCACACAGCAGGGGACCCTGCCCAAGAAACAACTTTTTCTTCATAGGCCTCCAGGCCTGTGATAAGGGTAGGGGCTGCCATGAAGACCTCTGGCATGCCCTGGAAACATTTTTCCCATTGTCTTGGGGATTAACATTTGGCCCCCTGTTACTTATGCAATTCTACTCAGAAAATGGAATTCTCTTTTCTATTGCATTGTCAGGCTGCAGAGTTTCTGCTCTGATTCTCTTATAAAACTGGATGCCTTTAACAGCACCCAGGTCATATCTTGAATACTTTACTGCTTATAAATTTCTTCCAGCAGATACTGTAAATCATCTCTCTCAAGTTAAAAGTTCCATAAATGTTTAGGGCAGGGACAAAATACCCCAGTCTCTTTGCCAAAACATAGCAAGAATCACCTTTACTCCAGTTCCCAACAAGTTTCTCATTTCCATCTGAGACCACTTCAGCCTGGATGTTATTGTCCGTATTGCTTATCAGCATTTTGGTCAAAGCCATTCAACAAATCTCTAGGAAGTTCCAAACTGTCCTACATTGTCCTGCTTCTTCAGAGCCCTCCAAACTGTTCTAACCTCTGCCTGTTACTCAGTTCCAAAGTTGCTTCCACATTTTTTGGGTATATTTTCAGCAGCGCCCCAATCTACTGGTACCAATTTCTGTATTAGTCCATTTTCACACTGCTGATAAAAATACCTAGACTGGGAAGTTTACAAAAGAAAGAGGTTTAATTGTACTTAACAGTTTCACATGGCCGGGGAAGCCTCATAATCATAGCAGAAGATAAGGAAGAGCAAGTCATGTCTTACATGGATGGCAGCAGGCAAAGATAACTTGTGCAAAGAAACTCCCATTTTTAAAATCATCAGATCTTGTGAATCCCATTCACTATCATGAGAACAGCATGGGAAAGACCCACCCCCATGATTCAATGATCTCCCAACAGGTCCCTCTCATAACATGAGGGAATTATGGGAACTGCAAGATGAGATTTGGGGCACAGAGCCAAACTATAAGTGTTGAAAAACATGCACTTTCAATGAAGAGTACTTTCAAACAGGCTTTATGTGAGCAACATGGCTGTTTATTCACCTGGGTGCAGGTGGGCTAAAGTCGGAAAGGGCATTAGCAGAGGGCAGTGGGATAGGAGTTTGTTTTGTAGGTTTGGGTAGTTTTTTGGGGGTTGAGGGTGCTGCAGAGTAAGTTCAGTTACAGTGGTAGGGGGGTAGGGGCAAGGAGTATACATGACCACAAGTTCAGTTACAATGGCAGGTTTGGGTGAGAGGTATTTACATCATCATAAGAACAGTTAAGATGGCAGGGTTGGGTGAGAGGCTTGTCTGGGGAAGCTCTGCTGGGTGATCAGGGACAATGGTGAACGCAGGCAGGGGGTGGGAGACATTAGCCAAGGCAAGCAGGTCTTCAGACTTTCAGTCTCCAGGCTTACATATGGAGACCTGACAATATCAACTTACATCACTTTTACCCATCAAATGTCATTTGTGTTTATGTATTTCTCCCATCTCTACTGGCATTTCCTATCCAAGATATAATCACCTCTCACCTAGAATACTGCTCCACTTACCTGACTGGTCTCTGTGCATTATCCTTATTTCCTTCCCATCATTCTCCACACCGCAGCCAAATTAGTCTTTGGAAAAAAATACATTTTTTTATGCTTAGAACTCTTCAATAGCTTCCCACTGATGTAACAGTAAAGATAAAAATTTTAGCCTACAAGGCCCCATATAAGGCCTTCTTACTATTGTTCCTGCCTTTTCTTTTCCACTGTCATTTTGGTTCTTTTTATTCTTTTCAATTATGCTAGACTTTTTATCAGATCCTTTAATATGCATTCTTTCTCCTTCCCCCTAGACTTCACATGTGCTGTTCCCTCTGCCTTGAACACTCATCCTTCTAACCTTTTGCCTATTTAACTCCTGCCTGTCCTTCCACACCTACAGCAAGCCTTCTTTGACTCACAAAGTCAAGTTTACTTGTTTTACATATTTATAGCACCTTATGCCTCTTTTTTGTGACACCTCAACACCACTTTAATTCAACAATTAATTGTGTAAATAGTTGGTTATGTCCTTTTTTTAAGGTCCGTGAGATCAGGGCCTCTGTCTCTCTTATTTCTTACTAACTCTGGTGCCTAGCATAGTGTTTCTAAGAAAGTAGGTACTCTGTAAATATTTTGGATTAAAAATATCTTTGAAAGGTTTGCTGGTGTATCTCTGCCTTCACAAGAGGAAAAGATGTGTGTGTGTGTGTGTGTGTGTGTGTGTGTGTGTATGTGGATATATATGTGTGTGTGTGTGTGTATGTGGATATATATATGTATATGTGTGTGTGTGTGTGTGTGCGTGTGTGTGTGTGTGTAAAGCCCTATGTGTTATAACAATTCAAACTTGATCTTGATCTTGACCAAGTCAATGATCAGGAGGAATCTGATTTAGGAAGGAGTAGTAGAAATCAAGGGCAATTAGGTAAAATATAGACATTTTGAGCACAGGATGTTTTTGTAAACTGTATGAGTTTAGGTTAAATGCAAGCAGGGCAAGAGAGTAATGACTCAAGATCTAGCTCTGGAAGAAAAGAAACTGATAGAAAAATGGTGAAAAAATTAGGGATTCTTTTTGATTGCTGGGCTCCATTGTCCATATGCAAAATGGGTAGCATTAGAGATTGAACATAAGGAAGACAGTAAGGCAACAGACCAGGGAAGAAAAGCAAGACTGGCCACATATTGTGGAAAGCTAGGGAGAATATAGCTTTCACTTCATGTGGACTGCCTGGGACTCTGTTCATCCCTAGCCATATGGCAGTTTGGCATAGAGGAACAGAGTATTCTCAGAATTATCAGTGATTTCTTAAAACTGTGCCATTGGACCTGGGTAACATTAGCCCAAAGATATGTACGAAGTACTAGTGATTTAGTAAAATTCTAGACAATCATAAATAAATACATGAGATCCCAGATAATAGAAAAACTGATATCAAACTTTATAAATATTATAATACTGTAAATTCACAAATTAATTTTATTTATAACAAGGATACTAGCAAAAGTTCTCTTATGCTGGTCCTGTGGTTGGCCCAAGATTTGTAGATGTAAATAGTGACTTGTAAGAGAGGAAGAAAAGGACAGAATAGCAAACTCTAAATTATGCTTGTTTATGGATATGTTAAGTATTTGAATTGTTAATACAGAAGGCTCCTTTATCTTTGAGAAATGTATTCCAAGACCCCCATTGGATTCCTGAAATCATAGAGAGTACCAAAATCTACATATACTATATTTTTTTCTATATACACTCATGATAAAGTTTAATTCATAAATTAGGCACAGTTAGAGACTAACAATAACTAAATAGGACAATTATAATAACATAGCATAATAAAAGTTATGTGAATGTTGTCTGTCTTCCTCAAAATATCATATTGTACTATACTCATCCTTCTTTTTGTGTTGATGTGAGATAATTAAATGCCTACCTGATTACATAAAATGAGGCAAAGGATGTTGGTATTGTGATGTAGCATTAGACTACTATTGACCTTCTGATGGTATGTCAGAGGGAAGACCATCTGCTTTGAGTGATCCTGGATTATTGAGCCATGGTAGTGTCCATGGCTGGATGTCAGGAGAAGATGATGATGATGACTGAGTGTGTTGCACAGACAGTGTGGAGATGCTGGACAAAAGGATGATTCACGTTCTGAGCTGGAAGGAGCAGGGCAGCATGAGGTTTTATCACACTACTCAGAACAGCATAAAATTTTTAAAAATGACTTTATTTTTGAAAATTTCTATTTAATATTTTTTAAACTCAGCTGATGACAGGTAACTTAAACTATAGAAAGCAAAACTGTGCATGAGAGAGAACTACTGTATGCATGTTGATACTAGAGAAGAAATTTTGGAAAGACACTTCCTGTTCATGGTCTGCCTGGTGGACGCTTCTACTGCAGGTATAGAAAAGAAATTTTACTCCAAATGCACATTTTATTTAATAAGGTGTAGCTGCCTGGTCTGCTATATAAGAGAAGGATTCTGATGTTAGGTATAGGCTCAAAGATTAGAGTGATATGATTAAAATGCTCGGAATGGGCCCAGGATGAAGTTATGGAAGCACTTGGTCACAAATTATTCCTCCTTGTAATATATTGTGATGGAACTTATCTCCCCCAATCAAATAGCTGAAATCCATTCTTTTATTTATTCAACAAGAACATTTTATTTATTCAACAACAACAGCTTAGATGTGCCTCGCACTATGTTATATACTAGACATATAAAAATTAAAAAAAGATACAGTCTTTGCACTTAAAAACAATTAGAAATAACAGTGTTATTACATTTAAGAAAATACTGTCTCTGCATGAAAAGTATTGTGAAGTGCTATATTTTCTTCCTATTTTTCTCTAATCAAATTCTGCTGAATAAAATCTGCTTGGTTTAATTAGATACTGAAGGTAGACTAAAAACTGTTATTCTCAACTCATTTGGAATTCAAGGTGAAAGTTATTACAAAATTTATAAATCATGGTGAATTGTCATTCAGTAGAGAACACTGTTATCTATGGATATGGGCTACACTCAACTAACAGTTGTATTTTGGCACATACTCTAAACCTCCACAGCAAAACAACAACAACAAAAATCATTGTGCTTGGACAGTTGTTAAAGATGGAAAAATGATTCCAGGAAACAGAAGTCCAATTAAGAGCGTATCTGTGCATATAGAACAATCTCTCTCTATATATTTTCCTCTCCTTCTCCCATTAAGATTATCCCCAACCCCTACTCCAGGCATCCTGGAGTTTATTTTTCATTGAGGATCATGGTTTTGTTCACTTTGTGTTTGTTGATTGGACTCTGCTATGGGTTGATGACTGTGAAATAAAGAATCCCTCAATTTCCTCTTTTGTGACTGTTTATTCCTTTCGCTAACTCCAGTATATCAGATAGTTGATAGTTCATGCTCTTTCAACTTGCGTGCTATTTCTTCTTTTTATCTAATCTTTGGACTGAAGTATTGATATTATTTTGCTTCTGACCTTTAGGGGGAAACACAATTAGGCATTCTCCAAAGGAAAGTGAAAATATGTGAAGGTTACTTAACCTTCAAATGCCTCCTGAAGGTTGGAGAATTGACTAGTACGTTGACACTAGACAAATTTTCATAGCCTACTTCATGGGCCATATTTAGCTTTTCTTGCCTCATTGGACTTGAGGCACCTCTCTTCCTCCTCAACTCTCTAAATATGATTAAATTGATACATTGAAATGAGTAGGGAATGCTGAATGCTGTTTTTTTTTTTTTTTGTTGTTGTTGTTTTATTAATCTAATCTGCTCTTCAGTCCTGTGGACCTAGATAAAACTCTGAAATTGATTGTGCTTCCAACATTGAAAAATGGGGTACATCATTATGCCAGTAGTCCAGTTTGAATCCCCGAACCTGCAAACTTCCACACTATACTTTGATCGTTGTGTCTTTATTTTTTCCTGAAGTGTTATTATGAGAATACCCTATGCACTATCACTACCTTGAGATATGGTAAAATTCTCATTGTCACTGGACTGCAAACTATTCAAGGGCAGAGACAGGGTCTCACTATTTCTTTGTGGCCCTAGTGCTGCACTGTTAGCATAAAGCAGCTGCTCAAGAAATTTTGGGTGAATGAATGAAAACAATCCAAATCTATTTTCACTTAAAATATAAATAAATGTTATAAGCACTATTTCTACGAACTCCCTCCCCCAAAACAAATTTAAAAAATCAGTTGTATCAGTTTCTTACCAACTGTTGAGAACTATTTTCAAGCTTGTGATTCTATATGTGGCCATTAGATTCTATCTTCCACCCAATTTCTACATTTCCTTTTCTCAGCTCCCCTGCCACACACCATTATGATGTATTATAGAGGATGATATGGAAAGAGGCTGTACCTTTCGTTATTCAAAAGGCAGTTCTGAATCTGGACAAAGGAGATGATCTCCTAGAAACATGGGTTTACTTAGAATGACTTCACTTGAGATGATACTACATGGATCTTCTTCATTCAATGAACCCGTAGCCTTTTGTTGGGTATGGAGAAATTGGCTTTTATTTTTTTAATCACAAATGAAAAGATGCAATAGTATATGTTGAAACCCATGACTTGCCTTATAAATGGGCATGACAGGTAATTAATTGCATGAAGAATTCAGAGATGGCATAATCGTGGCCAAATCTATCCTTTTCTTTACCTCCCTTGTCTGCCATCGATCATCTGACGCCACAACATCTGCAGGAAATTTGTGCTTATGTTTCTCTCCTTTGGGACATCTTTTACAATGTAGTTAATACAAATATGGGCAAATTACCCAATTTCAGTCTGAAATGTGTAACATATATAACATATACTCTCTCTACAATCACACTATAGTACTGAAGACATACAGTAAGAGAATTTAAAAGTA